TCAGTCCTCTAATTAGTAATCTAATTAGGGAATTGCAGTGAAAACCGACATACACTACAGCTCTTTGTGGATAAGATTGTCCACCCCTGTTCTAGAAGTCCTTCATCAGGCAAGTTCAGGAATAATCAAAGTTGAGCACATGCACACGTATCATGTACACAAAGTAAACCCTAGATAAGCAGCTATGCTTTTTGACCCTCAACAGGAAATCATAGAGTTGCATTGCCTTTGGCTGAAATCACGTCTTCAAAATACATTTGAGGGCTGAACGTCAGCCTTGTGAAATGTCACTGCTCGCGGAGAGGAGGCACTAATGATAAACCTTTCTTCTGAAGACACAGGGTGAGATGCTCTCCTGAGAGCGCGACACGGCATCGATGGGGGCTTCCTCGTGTTCCTGGGAACACAGAGGAAAAATTGCCCCTTTGCTGTAGTCATCTGGCCGAGAGTGTTGTCTTGTGAACATCCTGTTCGCGCATTCGCTCAGGGTCATGCTAGATGAAATATCCAAGTTATTTTGCATCTAAGGGAGAAAAATGGGCTCAGGTTTACACCAACGTACAGCATATTACCACTTCCTGGCTGATATGGTACAGATTTATTTTCGAAACTATTTTATTGCTTAAAGTTCTGTAGTTTCCTCTTATGTGCTGCTTTCTGGTCACCTTGGATAAAGCAGCCACTTTGGAAAGAACAGTAACAATGCATGATAGTTCCTGACACTTACACTGAACAATTTTGCAAACTTCTAGATCCAGAAGTGAAAGTCTATGGTGTCTGGACAGCTTCTCCAGCTCTTGAGCCCCACTGCAGAGCCTCTTGGGTGCCTCTTAAAGTCCGAACGGCAGCGGCACAAGTCATACCAGCCGTGCCTAATTTCCACTCTACGGGAGCCATTGGGCGGAAAGGTCTCACCCACACCGATCTGGCTGAAGCATCCCGCAGTCACATAGTCAGCTGCAACGCTCATTCGCCCATTATAATCTGTCTAACTCCCCCCCCCCACCCCTTTGGCATAAAGCTGCATGAGTGCATAATGCAGCAAGGCTGGCGCAGGCCGCTCGGCCCACTGCACGAGTGCCAAATGCAGCAAGGCTGGCGCAGGCCGCTCGGCCCACTGCACGAGTGCATAATGCAGCAAGGCTGGCGCAGGCCGCTCGGCCCACTGCACGAGTGCATAATGCAGCAAGGCTGGCGCAGGCCGCTCGGGCCAATGCTGGCGTGATAGCATCTTTCTGGCAAGGACTTAGCTTTCAGGTAAGGGCGTTCTCTCTCCAGATAAGGCCTGTCGAGTGGCATCCAGCATCAGTAAAAGGCTGCCCATTTATCACTCTGCCCGAGTCCAGTCGTCTGCTCTTGCTCGTTTACGACCTGGATCTCGCCGCAAGGGCGAAAGGGTCACAGGGAATGATGGTGGCCAGCATCTGGAGATAGGAGCTCGGAATGTGAGGGGGTTAAAACTTCCTACATCTCCTGGGATGGGTGTGGGATGGGTGTGGGATGGGTGTGGCCAGTGCCGAGGAAGCTGGGAAACAAGGAACTGGGGTCAAGAGGGCATTAGTTGAGATTTTGTTAGGCACTTACATAAGAATCAATCGCTGTCATTCGCCTGATTCAATTTCTTTCTCTAATATTTTCCCTGCTTGCTTATCTTAGTAAAAACCCATTTAGGTGATATTTCCTTGCTAGGACTGTTAAAATATTTTCAATCAGATTTCTTTTTTAAGGATTTAGTCACAGACTTTGATGCCATTAGTAATGTATTTCGGCAGAACTGTGGTTTGATAGGATATTAAATTAAGGTCCTGTTCCTAACAAAGCATTGTCTTGAAAAGGAATCTTGGGTACTTTTAGGGTTTGTACTCAGCTTGTTAAAGTTGATACAGGGTTTTTAAATGGGTCCAAAACTTACAGCATCGTAGGCGATTCAAAAAGTCCTCAGACCTACTGGACAGAAAATGCCTCAGTTTTGCGAAGGATGGGAAATGAGTAGTGGCCCTGTCGCCTTTTTCAGACTCCCCCCCGCACCCTCGACCTGGGATGACGTTAGAAAACATAAACGCAGTTAACGAATTATGCTGCTGATTTCTTACGGCATTAGCGGCAGAGAGACTCATATGTCTCTTTTACGTTTACACAGCTACAAACGGGTAAGTCACTGTAGCACACGTTCAGCCTCATTGGCCCCCACACAGCAGCCGGTGAGCATCACTCCTTGGGAGAACTATCCGACA